CTCTCATCCTCGTTGCGGTGCTGGGAGTGCGGTCAGCGGTGGGCCGGCGCCGTGCCTTCTCCACCTGTGGGGCCCACCTGGTGGTGGTGTCGCTCTTCTTTGGCTCTGTCCTTTCTGTCTATTTCCGGCCATCATCTGCCTACTCAGCCCGCTACGACCGCCTGGCCAGCGTGGTCTACGCAGTGCTCACACCAACCTTGAACCCTTTCATCTACAGCCTTCGCAACAAGGAGGTCAAGGGCGCCCTAAAAAGGGGACTCAGGTGGAGGGCTGTGTCCCAAGAGTTGTGAGGGCAGTTCCTGATTAACAGGCATTTCAAGAATAAGAACAATTACAAAAGAACCTCTCCTCCCTTTTCTAGCTTTGCAAAGCATTAGCAGTTTTGATCCTGCAGCATCTTATTTATGGTTAAATTAAAAATTAGACCTGAAGCAAAGGTGGCAATATGTTTATTTTACAGAGATGGGTACATAGCAATAAGCTAAATTCGTTTCCTCATTGTCTGAATGTTTAAAAAATAGAGATTACTTTTAAATTTTGGAAAAGCGAAGGGAGCAATCAGGGTACTAGGGAATGAGTCTTGTAGCTTCTGGAGAGGAAGAGGGAAGAGTGTGGCTGGCAGCAACCTAGTGGATGGAGAGGAAACCCAAGAAGCAGTGTAATAAGGTTTTTTAAAAGAGTTCCTTTTTGTTGTTGTTTGTTTATTTTTAGGGGGACAGGGTGCTGCAGTGTAGACCACACCATCTTCAAACTCTTTTTCTGGAAACTTAAGGGAAGATGTAATTTTTATAAAAATTTTTTAAAATTCTATTCCCTAGATAATATATCCATCATTTTCATGGCAAGAACTCAAAAATAGAAATAAAGATAAAATTCTTCTTAACTATCATTCAATCCGATCTCCACCTTTATCCCAGTTACCAGTTCAATACCTCCTCCACCTTTCTCTCCCTGCTTTTGACACATAAATAGTAGTCTCTCTCTCTACATATTTTGCAATTTCCCTTTTCATGAAATAGTAGTCCAGGAAATCTTTTCTTATCCCTACAAATAGAACTTCTTCATTTTTATCTTCAGTTTAACCAGCCCCTTATTGATAGTTATGCCTTCCCAAGGTTTCACTATTACAATAGTGTAATGATATCCTTGTACTAAAAATAATAAAAGATAACCTTTAGTGAGGACTAACGTAAGTACTCTTTGCATATATTTCCTTTAATCCTCACAAGATTCCAGGAGGAATATATTATTATTCTCATTGCACAAGAGAGGAAACAGGCTTAGAGAAACCAATTCTGTTAGACTCAGCAATGTCTTCTTTCTGGTTCTGAGCTCTGACTTGAGCTGCTGCTATATGGTCTCCTCCCTCATTATCCTAATAGTCCCTAGAGATACACTAACTCTCAATTCCATCTGCACTCCATCAGTGTGTGTAAGAACTTTTCAGATCTTCATGGCCCAACATGGTTGAGAAGATTTGCGTTTGTGTGCATGTATTTATTTATTTATATTTATTTTCAGTGTTCCAAAATTCATTGTTTATGCACCACACCCAGTGCTCCATGCAATACATGCCTTCCATAATACCCACCACCAGGCTCACCCAAACCCCTACCTCCCTCCCCTCCAAAACCCTCGGTTTGTTTCTCAGAGTCCAGAGTTTCTCATGGTTCATCTCATTTGTGTGCATGCTGAGATAAAGACAGAATTTTAGACTCTCTTCTGTAGACTAGCGCTGTCATGATATGGCGGCCCCATGCATTGGTAGACCCTTCTGCAAAGGACCTTCTCCAAAAATACCTCCAAACAAGTTGGGAAAGTTAACTATGCCCTTCGATATCCAAAACTATTGAAGGATAAAGAGTATGGCCTTACACTAACATCTGAACTCTCCTTAGAATAACTATTATTTTATGTAGTTTTTGAAATGGTATTCAAATGCAATTAGAAAAGAGAAATAACAGAACTAAGTATTTGAAAAAACTATTCATACTTATCAATACTGATATTAGCTTTGATTGTGTATCTTCAGTGCTTAAATATTTAATTGAAAATCGTTATTAGAAAATAAAAGAGAATTTAATAAGGTGGACTACTGTAAAATTGATATACAAAACAATCAGTAACTCCTATGTAAAAAGAGTACTTGTCTAAAAACACAATAGTGACCCCCCATTTTTTTTACATTTTTTACATTTTTACATTTTTTTTAAAATGTAAAATACCTAGGAATAAATACCTAGGAATAAATGTAGAAAGCAATATACAGCAATATACCAAATTAAGAAGTGTACAGAATTTAACTGAGAAATGAAAACTTGGAGTAAATGGAAATATATTTGTTATTTATAGTTTTTAAGACAACTGTATAAATAACCAATTCTAATTCATAAATGAATGTAATAATTCAAAGTAACTCCAGTTAATTTCCTAATAGGTTTTTTTTTATTGGAATTTAACAAAATAGATCTAAAGCATATCTGAAAGGAAAAATGTCAGGAAAGTTTTGGAAGAGAAGAATATACAGGAGGGCTTGTCACATAAGGTACCTAACATGTACTGTTATAGATAGAATGATGTCAATATAATAAGTCCAGAAATGAATAAAATAATAATAATATAATAAGGAGGTGTACATGAGCCTTAGGACATTATAAAATCAGTTTTTCATATCTGTGAAGGTGAAGACAATAAGGAAGGGGGGAAGAAAAAAGGGGCAGTTGCCTTTAAAATTTTGGGTGGATCAAAGTAGAGATATAGAAACTAAAACTGCAAGAACTAGAAAAAATAATGAGATAATAATAATGATGGTAATGATAATAATAACATTAATTTGGGGATAGAAAACCCTTTTCCAAGCTTGTCAAAGAAAAAATATATATCAAGAAATAAAAATCAACTTACTTGTCTACTTTGAAGTTTATGATCTTAGTGAGGGAAAAATGCATCACTACCAAAGTCAGAAGTTGAACAGACTGAGGGAAATGTGGTTTACAAGATAGGTAAAGTGGCATCACAAGAAAAAAGAAAATTGACTTAAAAGCAAAGGACGTGCTCAAATTACACGCTCAAGGAACAGTAGTTAATATAAAGGGACGTTTGACTTTATTGATATGTATAGAAATTCAATTTAAAAATGGTAAAATCTCGGGGTGCGTGGGTGGCTTAGTAGGTTAAGCAGCTGGCTCTTGATTTTGTCTCAGGTCATGATCCCAGGGTCCTGAGATGGAGCCCTGTCTTGGCCTCCTCGCTCAGTGGGGTGTCTGCTGGAAATTCTTTCCCTCTGCCCCTCCCCCTGCTCGAGTTTTTTTTTTTTCTTTCTCTCTCTCTCAAATAAACAAATCAATCTTTTAAAAAAAATAGTAAAATCTCATGTTTTGATATTAGGTTGATAAATAGTTGGAGAACAAAAAATCCAGTGTTGAGAACATGTAAAGAAACAGCTATGCTCATTCACTTTTGGAAGGAATATACATTAGCAGAATTCCTTGGAGGCAATTTGGAAACTTCTACCCAATTATAACATGTTTTTGATCTAGTAAGCCCATTTCTAAGAATGTGTCCTTAGAATCAAAGCACAAGTCCACAAGAAAACATACGGACCAGGCAATAAAATTGAAGTATTGTTCAAAATAATAAAGAACTGAAAACAACCCAGATTATTTAAATAAGTTATGGTTAATGCATCCATTCAACAAAACACAATACAGATTCTAAAAGGATTATATGTCTTTATATGAAATAATGAACTCAAAATATATTTTATGTAACAACATAAAAAAATGGAATGCATAATTTAATCTCATTTATTACATGCAAAGTTAGTCTTTGCATAGAAAATATCTATGCATATTGAATATTCCCCAAACTTTAACTGCCTTCATGGGGAGAGCAGAACTTTGGGGAACCCTCACATTCTCACTTTATTATTTCTTTCTTTATTTTTTGGATAATTTTCAATGAGAATGTTTTCTTTTTGTAATCAAAAATTTTTGAAGAAGAAATAAGGTCAAAGTTGGAATTATTAGGAAGACTTTTTTTAAAAGGTGAGATTTTTAAAGGCACACATTAATTTCAAGACACATATGAAAATGCATTCAAATAAAATCAATTACTATTCTACATTTAGTAAGTACAAGACACTGAACTCATCATTGAAGAGATTATAGAGCACCTGTCTTCAAGACACTTAAACTTCATAAAAAAAGAAATAAATGAAGAAAGCATCACAAAATTTTAGCATAATATTTCAGAGGAAAAATCCACCTGAGAGTAATAAATAGATTCTAATCCCTCTGTCACTATTTGTGCTACCTTAGGCTGTATATGGGTTTCCATTTTAGTTCCTATAAATTAACAATTCATAACAGAATCACATGGTTTATTGCTTACCATATGATTTTAATTCAAAAGATAAATTCTCATCCAAAATATAAATATTATCAAAAGAAGTAATCTGTCATTAACTGACAAGTGATAGAACAAATCAAAGGAAAAAGAAATTTTAGAATGTGGTCATTAAAAAGGTGAATCAAAACCTGAAATGAAAATTAAGTACAGAATAGGTCAACAAGGGAAGAAATGATGATCCTTGGGAGAGTAAAAAATTACAAAAGGATGTACATAATAAATTAGAAGATATTCTTCATGCAATAAGCATATTTGTCAGAAGCAAAGCACTGAAGTGGTTGAGAAATTTGGATTTACTTCTTAGAGAATTAGGAACTACTGAACATTTTTCTTTTTGTGCAGTAAACACTAAGGTTAGAGTGGTATTTATTCAAATTTGAATAATAATTTCTAAGTGTCCCCTACATGTCAGTCTTGTTGTACATCACCCCCAGAAACTGTGGTAAACCCAAGAGGTACAATGGACCCACCACTAGTGACATGTGGGAAAAACCCCAGAGATGCTATTAGGGCTGAATTAGCATGGGTACCACTAGACTTTACAGACACTACTCATTGTCAATATTACATCTACTGTTTGAAAACATACTTTAATCTTTAGAGTCTCTGTCCCAAAAAAGCTGTATTGTCCACTTTGAAAAGGCTCTTCCCAAAGCTCCCTTTATGTCCTGATTCCTCAGGCTGTAGATGAAGGGGTTCAGCATGGGGGTGACAACAGTGTACATCACAGCCATGACAATCTCATTAACGATAGAATTATTAGCTGATGGGCACAAATAGAGGCCAATGATTGTCCCATAGAAGAGAGACACCACAGAGAGGTGGGAGCCACAGGTGGAGAAGGTCTTGCGGATGCCCCTGGCAGAAGGGACCTTGAGGATGGAGGACACAATCCGTGCATAGGATGAAGAGATCAACAGAAATGGCACAATAATGATGAGCCCTCCCAAAATAAAGATTACCATTTCATTTATCTGAATGTCAGAGCAGGCCAACTTTAGCAGAGCTGACATATCACAGAAAAAGTGAGGGATCACATTATCAGCACAGAAAGACAGCCGAGCCATGAGCAGGGTGTGCAATAATGAGATAAAAGTAGTCAGCAGCCAGGACAGCACCACCAGGGACAGACAGAGCTTGGGGCTCATGATGGTGGTGTAGTGCAGGGGGAAACAGATGGCCACATAGCGGTCATAGGCCATGGCCACCAAGAGGAAGCTCTCCAGGTCTGCAAAAAGCAGGAAGAAGTACATCTGGGTCAGGCAGCCAGCATAGGGGATGGATGAGACTTGGCTCTGCATGTTCTGCAGCAATTTGGGCATTGTGACAGACGAGAAGCAGAGGTCAGAGAAGGATAAATTGCTGAGAAACAAATACATGGGTGTGTGGAGGTGGGAGTCCAGACAAATGAGGATGATGATGAGAAGATTCCCTAGGACGGTGGTAACATACATGGCCAGTAACAGGGCATAGAACAGGTCTCGCTGCTTTGGATCAATGGGTAGGCCCAAGAGAATGAATTCTGAGACAGCAGTTTGGTTTCCCATTTTCACATTGCTTTTGTTTTACCTTTTTAAAATTAAGAATGATTTGTATGAAAGTGTGAATATGTATATGTGTGTGTGTGTGTGTGTGTGTGTGTGTGTGTGTATTCTCCCCAGCTGCCTCTCCACCAGCTTTATCTGGAGCAAGGAGTGTGCAAAACCAAGTGAGGCTCTACCACCTCATAACCATCAGCACCTGCATCCTTCTCACCAAAATGCACCCAGCACTCCTACTCCAAAGAAAAGCCCATCTATTTGTTTGCCCACCCAGTTTACACACCCCCTCAACCACCCACCTCAGTGGTGTGGCAAAGGAGGTGATGAGCCAAAACTGATCTGAGCCCATGTTCTGCACCTGCCACAGCCTGGGAACCATTGAGAACCATGGGGGGTTCCCCAAACTGCAGAATGGCATGAAGGTCTGAGTTGCTGCAGATTAGAAGGCACTAGATGTTCTCTCATCATCAGTAGGCACTAGAACCCAGGCCCCAGAACTTCAGATCCAGTTCCAAACACTTGAACTACCAGAAAAATGGCTCCTCCACTTTAATTTCTTTGTTACCTGGATTAATACTCTCCTAACCCACATGAAAATCTTGTCTGTTTTCTCTTTCAAGACTTAAAAAAAAAAAAAAAAAAAAAAGACTTGATTGACCCAGGGGACACTAGTTAGAAAAGCAAGAGTTAGAAGGGAGAAGGAATGAGATGGATAGCAGGGTAAGCAGCTGAGTTTGGGAGGACCCCAGTGTGCATTTAAGTGCTGGGCCCTGGAGCCAAGCAACCTGCGATCACCTTACTACACCCAAACCTGTACCATGACCTGGCCAAGAAACTTTTTTTAAAATTTAATTTATTTAAAAAACAATTTTTTTTCTCACCATACCACATACCCTCCCCAATGTCCCTCACCCAGCTACCCCCTCCCTCTTACCCCCTTCCCCTTCAGCAACCCTCAGTTTATTTCCTGAGATTAAGAGTCTCTTATGGTTTGTCTCCCTCTCTGGTTTTGTTTCATTTTTCCCTCCCTTCCCCTATGATCTTCTGTCTTTTTTCTCAAATTCCTTGTATCAGTGAGATCATATGATAATTGTCTTTCTCTGATTAACTTATTTCGCTCAGCATAATACCCTCTAGTTCCATTCACGTTGTTGCAAATGGCAAGATTTCAGTTTTGTGTGTGTGTGTGTGCTGGCCAAGAAACTTAATCTCCGTTAGTCAGAGTTCTCCAATCAGCTCAATAGGAACACAACAGTACCTAATTTATTCTGCCAAAGAAAGTTAAGACCAAGTGTGGCATTGGTAAGATTTACTACTGCCATCATTAAGTTCTGTGATGAGGATGCAGTATTTTCCCAAGTACCCCTACCCTCATCTCTATCCCCCACACTATCCATGAGCAGAACACCTTGGTGCAAGTGAAGTAAGTGAAAAGGGGTTTTGTGGGGTGGAAGAAACTACTGGCCCAGAAGGGACAAACCTTTGGAACCCAAAGAGTGAGGATTTCCTCTGAAGTTATGACTTAAATCTATCCCTAGCTAAAGATAATAATACTAGGATAACTCAATGGAGGGTGAGGAAAACTGGCTTCATGGAAAGGGGCTCCCAAAATGGTCTTTTACACTCTGTTTACCTCACCCCCAAGCAAAACATTTAGGAGCCCACAGGAATCAGACTCCATCATTTACTGGCCTGTGACCTTGGCAAATTGTTGAACTCTTCCAACCTTACACTTCATCATTAGTGAATCTTACCTACCTTGCAGAATTGCAGGTTTGGAATGATTGGCACTTGCAAAGTATAGTACTCCACAAACATACAATTTATTTTTTCCCACTAATAGCTCTGATGATTCCCAGTTATACTCAGAGACAGGAATCGCTGTTGAGAGAGGAAAACAATGAGGCTGATGACTTCTAAATCATCCTGCAAGAGTTTCACTGCATAATTATGGAATCTTAATTTAATCTGTTAAAGGGGATTTTTTGGAGTAACTACCTCTTCTGAACCCCCTCCCAGTTTACCCAGCTTGTCTTAGTGTGGCTCCAGAGCCTGCCTCCTGTTTGTTACTTCCCCATCAGCTAGAGGCCCTGCCATTGTCTTCCAACTCCTCTCTTCTATAATGCTCTGACCCCTGGGATCCCTGGGTCCCAAAGAAACTCATTATTAACAAACCCAGTCCTTCCATCCACCCTTACTCCTGCACATTTCTGAGTAAGTCATACCCTGAGACAAAATTCTGGGTTTACTCTAAGTCTGATCTCAAGAAAGCTTTCCCCAGCCATTACAGCCCACACTAATATCTACCTTCTTTACCTTCTGCCAATATCTGTCCGCTACAACAGTTATCAAAGTCAAATACTGTAGCACTTGGTCACCACTGTTATGTGTTGTCCAGTGATTTCTTCCACATATACCAACCCTCTCTTCTCAGGTGGGCTTTAAGCTCCATGATAGCAAGCATTGTGTCAATTGATTCACCCAGGAAATCCTTAATCTATTAGTTCATTAATGCATTTCTTCTAGAAATATTTACTGGGTACCTACCATGTACAAGGCACTGAGCTCACAACTGTGGGAAAAACCAAGGTAGACATTGTTCCTGCCCTCAAAGACCAGCTAGATAGCTGGCAGACGTGGTAACTAAACAAGCTACTGCCAAGCATCACAAATATTATCAGAGGGAAAATACTAGATGTGTTAAGAGTGCATATTAAGGGGGTGCCTGGGTGGCCCAATGGGTTAAAGCCTCTGCTTTCAGCTCAGGTCATGATCTCAGGGTCCTGGGATCAAGCCCTACATCGGGCTCTCTGCTTCATGGGGAGCCTGCCTCCCCCTTTCTCTCTGCCTGCTTGTGATCTTTCTCTGTTAAATAAATAAATAAAATCTTAAAAAAAAAAAAAGAGTGCATACAAAGGACACCTAACCTTATCCATTAGGTCAGAGAAGACTTTTTTTTTTTAATGAAGTTTAAGCAGAATCTGAGGAGTTCTCCAGAAAAAGAAAATGAAAGCGTCTAGAGAGGAAATAGCATATGGAAAAACTCAGAGGTGAGAGAGCCTGGAGCTTTTTAAAGGCAAAGGGAGTTCAGTGTGGCTGAGGTATAGCGCCCTGTGCTAGGAAGCAGGCAGAAGAGAAGGGTCATTGGAAGGGGGGAAGGTGAGTGATACAGTTTGGTTATTCCTCAAAATGTTAAACATAGAACTGCCAAATGATCCAGCAGTTACCCTCCTTGGTATTGTAAGGGCCTAGTCAGCCAGAGCGGCCCCACCTCGGTTGAACAGCCATTTTGTTGTTTATGCAGTAAAACCTAAATTGACCCTGCCCCGCCCCCCCGCCCCGCCAAGGGAAATTACTTAAAAGCAAGTCCAGGAAACCAGTCCCAGGTATCAAAGCCCAAATACAAGGGCCGGTCAGGTCAGGTGGAGATGAACAGCCTGAATGCAGGGTTGAGTCGGGTCAGTGGAGACATCCAATCAGTAAAGCGCGCATACTGTCTCCCTAGCTACCAAGGAGTGTGGGCTCCGCTTTTGGGCACCAATTCTCACCAAGATGTTAGGCTAGTTCAAATGTCTACTATGGGGTGACTTGTAGTTCAATTGGCCACCCGTGTGGGACCTAGCATGACTGTGCAGCTTTCTCTGTGTATTGCAATCTCATTGGCTACCTGTGTGTGGCCAGGCCCAACCACATGGCCTTTGCTCTATAAAAGTTAGTCTGTGAGGCAGGGAGGGGTAGCACTCTCTCAGCCGAACGGTTTGATTCTCGATGCTCAGCGCAAAATAAAGCTTTGCTTGACCTTTGCTTTGTATCAGGCTCGCTCCTTTAATCACGGACCCATTATTGGGGGACCCAACAGTATATACCTAAAAAAACTGAAGTACTAACAAATACTTGTACATGAATGTTCAGAGCAGCACCAGTCACAACAGCCCCAATGTGGAAACCACCATCAGCTGATGACTGGAAAGAATGTGGTGTATCCAGACAGTGGAATATTTTTCAGCAATGAAATAAAGTACTGTTACATACCATAATATGGATAAACCTTGAAAACATTATGCCAATTAAAAGAAGACAATCCCAAGAGCAACATATTATATGATATGATTTATATGAAATATCAAGAACAGGCAAATCCGCCAAGTAAGCTGGTGATTGCTAGGGGAAAATGGGTAGTGATTGTTAATGAGATTTTTTGGGGGGTTTATGAAAATGTTCTAAAATTGATTATGGTGATGGTTACACAATTCTGAGTATATAAAAATTAATTTTATATTTTAAATGGATAAATGGTATAGTATGTGAATTATATGTTAACAAACATCTAATAAAAACAAATGTTTTTTTTAAAAAGATTTTATTTATTTATTTGACAGAGACACAGTGAGAGAGGGAACACAAACAGGGGGAGTGGGAGAGGGAGAAGCAGGCTTCCCGCTGAGCAGGGAGCCTGAGGCAGAGCTCAATCCCAGGACTAGGATCAGGACCTGAGCCAAGGCAGATGCTTAACGACTGAGCCACCCATGTGTCCCCCCAACCAAAACCAAGTCTTTATCATTGGAGAAATTTGTATTTAGTTTGTATTAAATATATGTATATTAATGTTTAATATCTCAGGTGTGATAATGGTATTGTAATTATGTATGAAAATGTTCTTGTTTCTAGGAGACCCTAAATGCTGAATTTGGTGGCTGTCTTGATGACTGAAAATTATCTTAAATAGATCAGCCATTTTACTTATTTTTTTAAGTTTTTAATTTCTTTTAACATACAGTGTTAATTTCAGGTGTACAATATAGTGATTCAACGTGGATCAGCCATTTTAAAAAGAAGAAGAAGAAAGAAAAGGAGAGAAAGAAAGAGGAAGGAGGGGATGGGGTTAATGATTAGAAGGGAGAGAGTGTTTGATATGTGCTATAAATATGAATGAATGAGATATGAACAGATTTGAGCAACTGATGGAGTATAAACAAAACAAACTAATTTGAAATTAAGCTTGTAGC